AGACTTCGAGGACGAAGTCTAGTTCTAGTGGGGGAGAATTGTAGCAGCCCGAAATTTCCAGGTATTTATTATTGGTTTATTTTTGGAAGTTGTGAATGGACTCGACGAGTTGGAGCCCAAACTCGCCGAGTATGATCTCGGTATTGGGCACGGGTTCGCGTCCGGACTCGGCGAGTCCATGCTGTGTGGTGAAACCCTAATTCCCAGGGTTTGAGACCTATTTAAAGGGCCTTATGCCCATCATTTGTGCTTACCAACCCATAGAGAGAAACCCTTGAGTGCTTGAATGTTTTGAGAGAGAAAGGAAGCATTTCTTGACCTTGTGTGTGTTATTTATCAAAGAAGGAGGAGGTTCTAGACAAGAGGAAGCAAAGGAGGTTGCTATATTGTGGATTTGAAGCTTAGATCATCGAACTAGAGGTATGATTTCGGCTCATCTTTTGTTTTGTGAAGTATAATTGGATTTAGGGTTTCTTATGGTCATTATTGGGTTGATTTGATGCCAAATAGTTCCCTTCTTGTGTTGAGGCTCTGGATCTGGATCCATAGAGGTCCAGAGAGCCTCACTCATCAAGCTTTATGTATAGCAATGGAGATTATGACCTTGAGTTGTAGTATTTGGGACAAAAGCATCATATATGGTCATATAGATATTGTATGTGCATCAAGATAGTGACTTTACGTGTTAAATAAGCTTTGAAGGATTGGATCTATGGGTTAATGGACCGGATCTGACCTTATGAGCAAGTTTGAGTCATTGCATGGCACGGACTCGCCGAGTCCGAAGAACAGACTCGACGAGCAGTATGAATATTGCCCCGACCACTCAGCGAGTGGTCTTGCCAAGTTGGGGAGGGTTGACTCAGTGAGTCAGGGGGAGTCAGAGTAGACAGATGGACTAAATCAAGCTGGACTCGCCAAGTTGTTCTTGAGACTCGGCGAGTTGAGTCGTGGTGACCCCACAACTCATGCCAGGTGGAACTCGTCGAGTTAGGAGAATACTCGACGTGTCAAGGGAGGATTCCGGGGAAATCAGTGTATACGCTCAGACTCGCTGAGTCGCTATAGTGCACTCGCCGAGTCCGGTCAAAGTTGACCGTTGACCATTGACCAGCGTTGAGCTAAGTTGACTTGATAAAGGGTAGTCAGCCTTAGTTAGGAAAGTGTTAATTAGAGATGTATTGTGCTATATGAGGATTATAGCTCGGGAGATCGAGCACTAGTGATTTCAGGATTTACGAATTAACAAGACATGCGAGGTGAGTCTTTTCACTATACTTTACCTTGAGTAGGTAACCATAGTTATGTGATAGAGTATTTGTATGCTATATATGTTATGTGTTGTACTGCATTATTTCTATGTGATTTATGCTGTGCATGTTTACAGAGTTAGAACTTGAGGTTCACAGAGTTCGGGTGCACGGACCCATAGTGTTATAGCCTCGAGTGGCTAATATGTGTTATATGTGGTATTTTGGGGAACTCACTAAGCTTTGTGCCTACAGTGTTTGATATTATTCATTTCAGGTACTAGTGACGACCGCGGGAAGGCGCCGGCTTGATCAGTACACACGCGTGGGATTTATGATTATGAGATCTTGAGATTTTGTATTACTTGAATTGATTGATTAAATATAGTTGTTTTTTGAATATTAAATGAATTATGTTTTATAAAAATTTGAAAATTTTGTTTGAAATTTACGGTGTTACATACTAGCTAAACGGGCTAGCATTGTGGCCTTAGACCCGTTCCTACTGGAAGGAAACTCACCTCGTAAACTGGCTGGTAAATGAACTACTCTGGAAGCTGCCTGTTGCTGCTCCGGTATCTCCCCGGATCAAATGACTCTGAAATGGATGCAAGATCTTGTGCCCCTTCTTCTCCTTTGGATCTAGCCTTCCTCCTCTCTTCTAATCTTCACTCTTTACACAAAAATGCCCAAAAACACTCAAGATAGGTTAAGGTATTTCTATGAAACGTTCTGAGGGTGAGGGAGGCCAGATTGGGTGCATAAGGGGGATTATATAGGGTGCAAAACCCGTGGATGTAGGGTTTCTTCCAGACTGGCGGACTCTTCGAGTCCAGGATATGGACTCGTCGAGTCACCCACTTTCACATGCTGGAAATCCCGTCTCTACTCGACGAGTCGGGCAACAGACTCGTCGAGTCCCTCTTGAATACTTAGAAAAATAAATATTAAATAACATACCAGAAATGGGATCTTTACACTTGATGCACATGCATGGGGTTTTTAGCTCAAAAGTCCATAGAAAGTGCTCTACAATGTACATGGGGCTCTCATGGCCCTAAAGTTGGCACCTTTATGCCATGAGACCCCTCTTAAGGCCCAGATCTGAGGTCAATCCCCACTCAACCCCTTATAATCCGAAAATGGCTTAGAAAGACATAAAAATCCCAATTCCAAAGATGAATAAGCACATATATAAGATTAATGGTAAAATGTGTACAAAAGTTTAATGGTAAAATGTACACAAAAAAAATGTTTAATGGTATAATGTGTACAAAAAATAGTTTAATGGTATAATGTGTACATAATAAACAGTAAAATCCACATCAGCAGCCACATGTCATGCTACGTGGCTAATGACCTATTATTATCGGTAATATAATGGTATTTTTTGAACAAATGTGAAATTTAATGATCATATGTGTACAAAAGCTATAGTTGATTGGTGATATGTATACAAAAAAAGTTTAATTGTATTTTTTGTACAAATTTAATACTTTGTTACCCTTACAAGTCATTTTCCCTTACTAAGATCATACATGATACTAACATAGATACCCTTCACGTTGAAGCTTTAGTATTTGCTTATTCCTTTCATTTTCTTCCGTAGTACAAAAGAAGACAACTAATAATTGCATTTTATTTTTATATGAATTCAACAACAAAATCATAGTCATGCAGTCTTGTAACTTTTCAATACTTAATAGATCCTTTTATTGTCTTTTACTTTTATAACATTTTTTTCATTGTTTTTTTTACAGTTCTTTTTATTATTCTTTTATTTTTATAACTTCTATTTTCCCATGTTAAAGAAATACTTGATGTTTTCTTAATGTAATTTTTCTAATTTTATTACAGTGCTCTCCCCATGCCTCTCTTATTTCAATTATTACAATAAAAAATGCTTTGAATTTAAATGAAGTTATAATAGGTAAAAAAGTTTGAATTACACTGCTCTAATGGAAAAATAAAGAATAATGCTTTTTTATTTTGTAAAGATGTTTTATAAATGATCTTTACTATAAAAGTCTTTTTGAATGTTTTATTTATTTATTTATTTTATTGAAAAATGATGTAATCGTTAAAAAAAAAAAACAAATGATAATCTAATTTTGCAACATAGTTTTTTTATAAAAGTAGTTTCGCAAATTATATATATATATATATATATATATATATATATATATATATATATATATATAATATATATATATATATATATATATATATATATATATATTAAAGTTATGAAAATTTTTAACATTTGTTTTTTGAATTTTTTTTTCAATTAATGTTACAACATTCACCCTTCATTTTTATGCTTTTGTTCACAAACCTTTTCACTTTGGTTTGATTTTTTCATAACCCTCGTATTTTATTACATATTATTAGTATTTAGTCATAATAATATTTTTTTGGCAGGAATGGTCTCTCAACTATATTTTGGTGATTTTAAAGTTGCTTCTTTTTTGTCATTTTTGGTCCATCTACTTCCGTTGGTTATTTGTGGCATTATAGGTTTCTATGTTTTCGTTTAATTATTACTTTATTAGTTTTGCTTACAGATTCATTGATGTTTTCTTATTATTTATTTATTTATAGATCAGTTAAAGAGGAAATGAATGAGCAACTCAAACTATAAACATTTTCAAAGAACAAACAACGGAAAAAATTGTTGCATCCGACCCCCGCAATGCGAAGGTTCCCCATCTAGTTGTATTTAATAAAATTTGGTTAATCTTGGATTTGTATCAAATTATGGTCTTTTGTTAATATAATATTTCTCATTTTGGTCATTCTGATTATAACCTAATTAATAAAAACATCATTGGGCTCGGATCATCACCTAAGGGGTGTTTGTCTTAGCTTTTTAGGAGCAAACGTCCTTTTTGGAAAAATTGCAAAAAGTTAGGTTTTCCTGACTTTTTCAAAAAGTTGATTTTCCTTTATCAAAAATCCAAAAATGGGTTTTAAAAGTTCTTTGCCAAACATGTTTTGCTTTATATCTTTTTCTAAAAGATCTTTTGACATCTCAAAATAGGCCTGACAATCGTGTTGTGTGCGGGTTGGGGTGTCGTGGGTTGGCGGATCAAAATATGCCAACCCAAACACGACCCATTTAAATATACAAGTCACGGGTTAGCAGGTCACGGTTTGGCGGGTTTGGAACATAAACTTATATATGACCCACCAACCCATTTATTTATACGAGTTCACAAGTTGGCGGGTTCGTAGGTCAGATTTTGGTTCGTGGGTCTTAATTTTTAATATTTAAGTATTAAACATCCAAATGAAAATTAAAAATATTCATAGAAAAATATTACAGACTTAGCCTTATAGGTTACAACTTATAACCTTAGACCATCCACCACGAGTAATAATGTCAAAACAATCAAATGGTCTATAAATAAGTGGTATATATTATATAATACTTATTAATATTAATACTTGACACATAAATACATTTAAAAATATAATAATTTTTTTTATTAAGAATATAAACAGGTTGGTGGATCAACCCATTTATTTTTTGAGAAACCCATATATGACCTGTTCAATAAATGGGTTGGCGGGTTGACATGTTAGCGGGTTGGCGGGTTGAAAAACTCAACCCAAACTCATTTATTTCGTGTCGTGTCGCAGGTCGAGCCCTATCTCAAAAACTAAGCCAAACACCCTCCTAGATTGCCCGGACGGACAATAAAATAAATATGAAATTATCCTTTCTTTAATTTTATAAATATTTTGGCAAAATTTCTATTATTATAAAAATGATATGGTATTAGAAGTTTCTCCAGAAGGAACTAGAACAAGCTATTATTCTTCAATTACTTGATTCCCCGTCTTCAATCTGTGTTGGGTGCTTGATACGATCATTATTTGGTGCAGAAAAGAAAGAAGATGCCGTTGCTGAGAAGAAACAATAGGAACGTGTCCAACGGGATGATACCCTTGATGCTATTGCAGGCCGTGAACGAGTACCGGAGGCTTGAACGTAAACCCCCGGTCACGGCGGCGATTCTTGCTGCCAACACCCTCATTTACCTTCGACCTGCTTTCCTTCATCAAATCCTTCCCAAAACTGAAGACGTCTTCTTCAATGCTCATCTCATCGTTAAGGTACATTTTAGGGTTTCATTTCTGCCCTAGCAAATCAAAATCACAAGCTCCTCTGTTTCTCTCAGTCAATATGCTGTGTTGTTTTGTGCAGGATAAGGACCTAAAGCGCTTATTCTTGTCTGCTTTCTACCATCTCGGTGAAACTCATCTTGCCTACAACATGATTTCGCTTCTATGGAAGGGCATCCAGTTAGAAACTTGGCTAGGAAGTGCTGAATTCACATCTATGATTGCCACCCTACTTGGATTGTCACAAGGCATCACGCTCTTATTAGCTAAATCTCTTCTTCTTCTTTTCGATTATCAAACAGCTTATTACCATGAATACTCTGTTGGATTCTCGGGTGTCCTGTTTGCAATGAAAGTCGTACTTAATTCACATTCAGATGGCTACACTAATCTCCATGGATTTGTGGTCCCCGCAAAGCATGCTGCTTGGGCTGAATTGATTCTCATCCAATTGCTTGTTCCTAATGTATCCTTTCTAGGCCATCTTGGTGGGATACTCGCAGGCATCGTTTATCTACGTTTAAAAAAATCCCCTTCTCCTTTGACAACAATGGTGAAAGGGTTAACTTCTTTAGTAAGATCTCTACATATGCGAATATGGCAGCAGTCCCCTCCACGACAAAGGCGAACAAGTGCAGTTGCAGGTGGTATATGGAGGTGCCGGGCTTGTACATATGACAACTCCGGTTGGTTAAGTGTGTGCGAAGTGTGTGGGACATGGCGTGGTGTTGATGGATTATCTTCTGCGCAGTTGTCAAATTCAGAGATGATTTTTTTAGATGAACTACGACACCGAAGGATTCAGAGGTTTGGTAGATATAGATAGATAGATAGATATATAACGTTTAGCAATTGTAAGTGTAACGATATTTATCATATAAATTAAGCCAAGGTATAGTGAATCATTCAAGCAATACAAAATTACAAATTAAGGAAAATTGAAGTTTATATCCACTTTCATAAATATGTTGTGTTTGTAATTATATAGTTATCAACTTAAAATGCTTCAGTAAATTTTGATGGTGATGGCATTTTTACTAGTACAGATTATAGAAACTAGAAAGTGTTGTTATAGCATTTCCATTGTTGGACCTCAGTTAGAAGTTCAAAATACTATAACATCGTCGTTCTGTTACATTGTTGTTTCTATCAAGTTGTTCATCACCATTTTTTGTAATTTCATTAAATTGTAACAAACAAACCACAACTATTGTGCCGCTACTATAATCATAGCAACATTTTGCTTTGGGAAGTTTTTGTTTCACTGTTTTGTTTTAAACATATCGGTACCTTTTGTTTGATTGTTTTGTTTATTGTGTCCGAGTCAAAAACTAACGATTTGATGCACCTCTTTTTACATTATTTGGGGAAACTCAATGATTCGGTTGTATGGATATGTAAAATATAGGATTTTCAATTCTAGTAGGAAAATAAGGGCAACACATACTAAATTTAAAGTGAGTAAATAAAATTCCATACTCGATCTCATAGATACATATAGAATTCTATGGAAAGTCGTATTCGATGAAAGTACGTACTGCTAACTAGTATAAATGCGCTAACCATGAATATGATGTCTGAAGATGAAAACTTACTTCAAATGTTGTTGAAATGTTTAGATTATTAATTTAGCGGTATATTTTTTTCTTTAAATGAGTTATCACGATTTAACTCGTTCTGCTATTCCAAAAAAAAAAAGGATTTAAGTCATTCTATAACGATTTTTTTGTATGTGTATACCTAATTATTTCATAAAAGTTTTGAGTTGTACATTGATATTTAATATCAATGAACTAGAAACTATATTGTTAGTGTTTAAATGTTCTTATTATGGGTTTGCTTTTTTGGTTATTATGTGCAACTTAGGTTCTACACATGATAGTTTTACTATCGGTTAACCAAAAAATAAAAAAATAAACCTTCGGTTTTAGTGATGGTTAGTGATTATGGGTTTGTAGTTCGGTTTTGATTCGTTTTTTTGGATAACTCCCAAGGTTTTACACATGACAACACAAAACGTGTTTCGGTTTATGATATTTTTCTCTTGTTAATTTATTCTTGATGCTTCAATTTATTCGAGAACATCCCTTGTACGATTCAAGGCTATCACGTTTACAATTGGACTGCTGTTTGCTTCACATTTACAACAATGTAAGGAAAATGATCTATGAAAACAAAATACATGTTAAATGTGTTTTTATATAAACTAGAGCATTTACATATTTACACAAGTTTATGGCTTCATGTCAGGGTAGTATCTTTTTTTTTTTTTTTACTTAATGGCATAATAACAACTTTTAATCTAAAAAATGATCTTTCATTTTGAGTTAATTTAGACATAACTAGGGAAGAATCCCACGTTGCAGGGTTGGTTACGCAATTGAATTGATCCAGATGTTACATTTCATCCAAAAAAAAATCATTCATCACCCTTGTATCTTTTGGGAACTCTTAGTGATGAGATTAATGGACCTACTGAGCATCCTAATTTTAACACCTAAGCCAAGGAAATCAATATCAACAAAAAGTATAAAGAGATGATCATACTGATAAATTACTTGTATCAAATGAAGTCAACATTTGGTAAATTTGAACAATTACAATAAAGAAAGTAGAGAATTTTAGTAGTTGAGAAAATGATATCAAGCGATAACTGTAACTGTACTTCCGATAAATGCAATACCAAAATGATAGTTTTAATAGACTTTAAAAAAGAGGAACAACTACCATGCTTCTACATAGTAATTCTGCTATACTTTATCAATTAAGGTCTAATTCTTCAAATCGACATAAAGTGTTAATTTCAATGAACAGAAAAGAGTAAAACCGTTTTAGAAACCAATAATCGGCTTCAATCTACATTCCGACAAAGAGCCCTAGTCGAATTAAAAACTATATGAGAAATTGTATTTGATAGTCCAGAGGCGATCATTATACTATCGCTACTTGACACTGCTAACAAGAAACTATGGCCTAGATGTAAGCGAATTGGTCCAAGGTGGCTGGAGTTCTATCCTACATCACTGTATCTTTCATCCTTAACATGAAGATCCATTTTTGTAACCAAATCAAGCTCGTCAACAAGTATAGTTGGACCATCTATGGCACTGTATAATGCAATTGTAAGTTGTAACAATCTCAATGGCATGGAAGGGTTTTTTGGGATGTTAACTTTACAGAAACAGGAGAAAGGTGGAGGGTATAGCTGTCGAAAAATCTGTAAGCTTCGCTAATGATGGCAGGAAATTGGAGACACCCATGGGGAAGTCAGACTCCATAAAAGAACCCGAGGTATCTGAATGGAGCAGCCTACAAAAAAGAAAAACTTCAGGTAACTTCAAACATATAGGAAGCAGCCAAAAAAAAAAAAACATAAACTGCACAAAAGAGTAATGTAAATCATAAATCAGAACCTAAAATTTTTGAATACTATGATTGAAAATGAGTAATTCCACCTGTGATGTGAAAGGTTACCAACAGTAGGAATCTAGATTGGTTAACATGTAAGCAAATCATATGTACTAAGCACCAACAAAAGATTAATATATTTCAAAACAAAATCCATTAAAAAAAACTCACAAGAGGGGCATAATTAACATTAAGAAAATTGGATGAAAAAAATCATTTTGTAACTACTTTTTTGTTTTATGTGTATTCCGGGTGAGTCAATCTAACCACCAACATCAGTAAGTTTTTCCTGCACGAATTGAAAAGGTAAACAGCATAAAAATAAGACATTTCGCATAAACCTTAAAAGACATAAATACCCTTTGGATTTAAGTCATTGTATAACGATTTATTTGTATGTGTATACCTAATTATTTCATAAAAGTTTGAGTTGTACATTGATATTTAATATCAATGAACTAGAAACTACATTGTTAGTGTTTAAATGTTCTTATTATGGGCTTGTTTTTTTTGTTATTATGTGTAACTTAGGTTCTACACATGATAGTTTTACTATCGGTTAACCAAAAAATTAAAAAATAAACCTTCGGTTTTAGTGATGGTTAGTGATTATGGGTCTCTAGTTCGATTTTGATTCATTTTTTTTGGATAACTCCAAGGTTTTACACATGACAACACAAAACGTGTTTTGGTTTATGACATTTTTCACTTGTTAATTTATTCTTGGTGCTTCAATCTATTCGAGAACATCCCTTGTATGATTCAAGGCTATCATGTTTACAATTGGATTGCTGTTTGCTTCACATTTACAACAATGTAAGGCAAATGATATATGAAAACAAAATACATGTTAAATGTGATTTTATATAAACTAGAGCATTTACATATTTACACAAGTTTATGGCTTCATGTCAGGGTAGTATTTTTTTTTTTTTTTTTTTTTTTTAACTTAATGGCATAATAACAACTTTTAATCTCAAAAATGATATTTCATTTTGAGTTAATTTAGACATAACTAGGGAAAAATCCCACGTTGCGGGATTGGTTACACAATTGAGTTGATCCAGATGTTACATTTCATCCAAAAAAAATCATTCATCACCCTTTGTATCTTTTGGGAACTCTTAGTGATGAGACTAATGTACCTACTGAGCATCCTATTTTTAACGCCTAAGCCAAGGAAAACAGTATCAACAAAAAGTATAAAGAGATGATCATACTGATATATTACTTGTATCAAATGAAGTCAACATCTGGTAAATTTGAACAGTTACAATAAAGAAAGTAGTGACTTTTAGTAGTTGAGAAAATGAAATCAAGCGATAACTGTAACTGTACTTCCGATAAATGCAATACCAAAATGTTATTTTTAGTAGGCTTTAAAAAAGAGGAACAAATACCATGCTTCTACACAGTAAATCTGCTATACGTTATCAATTAAGGTCTAATTCATCAAATCGACATAAAGTGTTAATTTCAATGAACAGAAAAGAGTAAAACCGTTTTGGAAACCAATAATCGGCTTCAATCTACATTCCGACAAAGAGCCCTAGTCAAATTAAAAACTATATGAGAAATTGTATTTGATAGTCCAGATGCAATCATTATATTATCCCTACCTCACACTGCCAACAAGAAACTATGGCCTAGATGTAAGCGAATTGGTCCAAGAGCGCTAGAGTTCTAACCTACATCACTGTATCTTTCATCCTTAACATGAAGATCCATTTTTGCAACCAAATCAAGCTCGTCAGCAAGTATAGCTGGACCATCTATGGCACTTTATAATGCAATTGTAAGTTGTAACAATCTCAATAGCATGGAAGGGTTTTTTGGGATTTTAACATTACAGAAATAGGAGAATGGTGGTGGGTAAAGCTGTCAAAAAATCTGTAATCTTCGCTAATGATGGTGGGAAATTGGAGATACCCATGGGGAAGTTAGACTCTATAAAAGAACCTGATGGGTATCTGAATGGAGTAGCCTACAAAAAAGGAAAAACTTAAGGTAACTTCAAACATATAGGAAGCAACCAAGAAAAAACATAAACTACACAAAAGAGTAAAGTAAATCACAAATCAGAACCTAAATTTTTTGAATACTATGATTGAAAAAGAGTAATTCCACCCGTGATGTGAAAGGTTACCAATAGTCGGAATCTAGATTGGTTAACATGTAACCAAATCATATGTACTAAGCACCAACAAAAGATTAATATATTTAACAACAAAATCCATTAAAAAAAACTCACAAGAGGGGCATAATTAACATTAAGAAATTGGATGAAAAAAAATCATTTTGTAACTATTTTGTTTTATGTGTGTTCCGGGTGAGTCAATCTAACTACCAGCATCAATATGTTATTCCTGCACAAATTGAAAAGGTAAACATCATAAGAAAAAGACATTTCGCGTAGACCATAAAAGAAATAAATACCCTTTGGATTTAAGTCATTCTATAACGATTTATTTGTATGTGTATACGTAATTATTTCATAAAAGTTTGAGTTGTACATTGATATTTAAGATCAATGAACTAAAAACTACATTGTTAGTGTTTAAATGTTCTTATTATGGGCTTGTTTTTTTGGTTATTATGTGCAACTTAGGTTCTACACATGATAGTTTTACTATCGGTTAACCAAAAAATTAAAAAATAAACCTTCGGTTTTAGTGATGGTTAGTGATTATGGGTCTGTAGTTCGGTTTTGATTCGTTTTTTTTGGATAACTCCCAAGGTTTTACACATTACAACACAAAACGTGTTTCGGTTTATGATGTTTTTCACTTGTTAATTTATTCTTGATGCTTCAATCTATTCGAGAACATCCCTTGTATGATTCAAGGTTGTCAGGGTAGTATCTTTTTTTTTTACTTAATGGCATAATAACAACTTTTAATCTAAAAAATGATCTTTCATTTTGAGTTAATTTAGACATAACTAGGGAAGAATCCCACGTTGCGGGGTTGATTACGCAATTGAATTGATCCAGATGTTACATTTCGTCCAAAAAAAATCATTCATCACCCTTGTATCTTTGGGGAACTCTTAGTGATGAGATTAATGGACCTACTAAGCATTCTATTTTTAACACCTAAGCCAAGGAAATCAATATCAACAAAAAGTATAAAGAGATGATCATACTGATAAATTACTTGTATCAAATGAAGTCAACATTTGGTAAATTTGAACAATTACAATAAAGAAAGTAGAGAATTTTAGTAGTTGAGAAAATGATATCAAGAGATAACTGTAACTGTACTTCTGATAAATTCAATAACAAAATGTTAGTTTTAATAGGCTTTAAAAAAGAGGAACAACTACCATGCTTCTACACAGTAATTCTGCTATACTTTATCAATTAAGGTCTAATTCATCAAATCGACATAAAGTGTTAATTTCAATGAACATAAAAGAGTAAAACCGTTTTAGAAACAAATAATCGGCTTCAATCTACATTCCGACAAAGAGCCCTATTCGAATTAAAAACTATATGAGGAATTGTATTTGATAGTCCAAAGGCGATCATTATACTTTTCCTACTTGACACTGCCAACAAGAAACTATGGCGTAGATGTAAGCGAATTGGTCCAAGGGGGCTGGAGTTCTAACCTACATCACTGTATCTTTCATCCTTAACATGAAGATCCATTTTTGTAACCTAATCAAGCTCGTCAACAAGTATAGCTGGACCATCTATGGCACTATATAATGCAATTGTAAGTTGTAAGAATCTCAATGGCATGGAAGGGTTTTTTGGGATGTTAACTTTACAGAAACAGGAAAAAGGTGGAGGGTATAGCTATCAAAAAATCTGTAAGCTTCGCTAATGATGGCAGGAAATTGGAGACACCCATGGGGAAGTCAGACTCCATAAAAGAACCCGATTGGTATCTGAATGGAGCAGCCTATGTGGGATTAGTGTCTAAGTCCATAACTATTTTGGTATGTACTTGACCCGATGGTGCATGGTCCTTTTGGGTGGCCTTCACCAGAGCAACTTGATAGGATGAATTATGGAGAGAAATGATTAATTATGATTAATTAATATATTATTAGAATAATATATTAAAGGAGAAATCATATTGTTTAATTAATATTAGTCAAGCATTAATAAGAATTAATTATGTAGCTAAAAGACATTAATTAGATGAAGGGGACTAGAACTGTCAATTGTGTGATAGTTGAATATTAGGCTAATGGACTCCATAGAGGATGGAGTGGACAAATTCTATGAGGAAACCCATCAAAAATCATCCAAGGCCTCTAAGGAGGGAGTCCATGGGTTGCTTAGGGCCTAAGCATCTAAATTAGGGTTTCCTTGTTAGATAACCTTAATAGCCTCACTATTTAAGGACCCCTTGGGCACCAAAAACGGGGGCAACTGAATCCTTAGGGTTTCTACACGTTTTTGGGTGTCTCTTCTCTTCTCATTCTTCATCCTCTTGCTCTTGGTGTTTGCAAACCATTAGAGGAGTGACATTTGTGACTCTAAGCTTTCTAAAGTCATTACAAGGAGGATTTGAGATTGTTATTGCTACATAACAATCAAGGTAATATCTTAAACCCATTGTTATGTTAATATTGATTATCATATGCTAGATCTAGGGTTTAAAGTCTTGGATGAATTGCATGTACAATTGAATAACCTAGATCCAAGCATTAGGGTTTGTATGAGCACATAGGATGTTCTTATGGCCAAAACCCATCAGTGGTATCAGAGAATTGATTGGTTTCTATTGTATTGATGCCTAGCATATTCATTCTTGTTGCAAAATCGATTTTTTGGCTCCCTGACTGTTGAACGCGGCGAGTTCCAATGTGGACTCGGCGAGTTGGCTCCAACTCGGCGAGTCCATAGAGGAATTCGGCGAGTTCGAGCGTCAGAAGGAGGCAGTTTCGGGATTTCTTGCTATTTTACTCATGGATACTTGCCTTAACTGTTTTGGGTCATTAAAATCCGATTTTAAACATATTTTTGAGTATATCCTTGATTAAACAAAAGATAATTACCAATTGATTAGATAATAACTTCCTTATATGATTAAAGTTTGATTATTTGTATTAATTGGGTAACTTATCTTGCAAGAAACTGATTTTAGGTCAAATTTAGATAATCATTAAATTAATTGTTTAATTTAAATTATTTGCTATTTGATCCTTTGTGTTTTGAAAAGTTTCAAATTTGCCCTCAAGTCTTGGAATTTAAATTTTTTGATTAAAAGGTTTGATTTTGAAATATTTGAATTCTAAACCCTAATGTTTTGAAATGATTCAAAACTTGCCCTCAAGTTTTGGAATTTAAAATTTGATTAAAAGTTAATTTAGAGATGTTAAATTCTAAAACCCTAGTATTGTTTTGAAAAGTTCAAATCTCACCCTTATGGTTTTATTAATTAATTAAGGTGTATAATTAAAACTAATGTAATAAATCCATAGAGTTTTTGGTATACATTTAATTAAATTAAAGGTATAATTTTTTAAATTAGACCAACTAGTATTTTGAAAGTGTAAAATATACCCTATACTATATATAACATTGAAAGTCTAATATTATATATATGAGTAAAAGTCAGTCTTACCGTTAGTAAGCCTCATTCACGAAGTTGGTCTATAAGGGGTGTTTAAGGAAATTGCCTATAACATGGCAATTAAATGGGTATCCACTCTTACCCACCGCACTCTTGACTAGTGGAGGGTCGTTAGCCGAACGGGTAGGATAGGACACAAACCTTCCATTAAAAGTATAATGAAGTATAAAGTAACTTAAAGTTTCTTCAAAATTCCCAATCGTAGTTACTTTAAGCAAAAGTGAATTGATGCAATTCCATGAAATTACACTTTGTGCCCCTGCAAAGACGTTAGTGGAGCGTGTGTGGTTAACCGGCACACTAACTGGTTCTAAGCAAAGGTAGTAAAGGGTGACTCAATGTTCATAATTGTTCGGTGGAGCGTGTGTGGTTAACCGGTACATCGAATAGGTGACTGTAACATGTGGGGGCACCATGTAGATTTGCATGGTTATTCACACCCACTTTGTGATCCCCGGCATCCCAGTCACAAACTAGAAGGGCTTATCGATATTTAAACATGCCATTGAAAAGTTCAATGAAGCTCAAAGGATCTAGGAGTTTTCAATACATTTAAAACTTAATCTGTTTTTCGTTTTTCATGGTGGAAAATTAGTGAATCGTCATTCACTTACCTTCAAATGTTCTGCAATTTGGGTTACGGCATCCCTCTCCCGAGTTGTGGAATATTGTGTTGGGTCCTAGCCTTATTATATCATTTGGGTGATTTACTAAGGACTCAATAAATCAACTAACTTGAATTTATTTTCTCCCGTTTTGTAGATGTCAAAGTATGACAATCATGGTCTTCCCAAATTTCAAGGAATAAGTGTTCCTGCTGAAAATAAGTTGTTCCGCTATTCAAGTGAAGAATCAAGGTGGACTAGTTTGATTTCACTTCCTCCTCCTTCTCTTGTTGTTCTCCCCGACCCACAAGATCGAATATTTGAAAGGTTCAAGATCACTGAAGCCCTATTGGCAATGAAACATGAAGATGGTAAGCCTGTGTGTGCCAACATTCTAGGAATGAAATCACACATCGATAGGTTGATTATGTTGGGTGCATCATTCCCTGATAAGTTGGCTGTAGACTAGGTTCTGCAGTCACTCCTTGAATCATATAATGAGTTCAAAAGAAAGTATTATATGATGGATCATGATGCAAACCTCATTGACCTAACTTACATGCTCATTGCTGCTGAATCAGAAATGATTTGGCAAAGCAATGGAGCATATTTTTTGGGAAAGTCAACCAACCATGCTTCCGTGGACACTCTAGAAGAACCCACCTATTTCTGCTGCCAACAGAAGGGAAAATGGATACAAATCTGCCCAAAGGAACTGAAGAGTCTAAGAGATGAAAGAGTCAAGAAGTATGGCTCCACTTCATGTATAAAATCCACTATCTAACTCCATTAAATTCCTATTATTTATAC